ACTGGTTCCAGTCGAAAGAAAAAGAACAAAAACATTTAAAGCTTAAAGTGATCAGCAGAAAGTAGACACCCCCCATCCCCCCCGCTCTGAAACGCCTCGAGTGAGAGCTAGAACTATCCACCATAGAGAGGACATGATGATAAGTGGAGGCTTTAGTGGGAAATAACAGATCTGATCAAATGATAGATAAAAATGATCAACAGTGTTTAGTGAAAGTTTACTGTTAAACTATCACATGTTGTTAAAATCAGCCAATAATATCAGGGGAGGAGAAAGAGAAGATGGAGGAGAGGAGAGGTTCATTAGGAGGTCCTCTCCCTCTACTGGAACACAGCTAATGTTTCCCTGTGAGCTAAGCTCCGCCCCTCTCCTCTGATAGGGCACCGTGACGGAGGTGATCAGTGAGGGGGCGGGGCTCTACGTGATGGACAGGAAGGTGGGTCTGTGTTTGGCCTATCAGCCGTCAGAGAGGAGGAAGCTGAGAGCAGGAGACCAGGTGGAGGTGAGTACCTGCTGCTGAGCTCTGATTGGTTCTAGATCAGCGTTCTGATTGGTTCCTGCAGATCTGAGCTCTGATTGGTTCCTGCAGATCTGAGCTCTGATTGGTTCCCTAATCTTCTGTTCTGACCCTGCAGCTCCATCAGGTCCACTTCCTGTACCGGCCCTGTCCTGACCTTCCTCCCAGCATGCTTTGCTGCTGCCTTGGCTCGTCCGTCAGAGTGACGGCCTTCAGCAGAGTGGGCGGAGCCTCCGCAGGCCGCTGCTGTCCTGGAGATGGGGTGTTGCCACGGTTACTGCTGCAGAAAAACAGAGGGATGGATCAGTACCTGTGGAGCTGCCACCTGGCCTCCCAGCTCAGCAGCAGGTAAAGGTTCTGCTTCCTGCAGGAGCAGATTATTGGTTTCTGTCCCATAAAGTAGCTCAGAGTTAACCGACTAGTTTATTCCAGCCTCCTCTGCAGGCTCCAATAGGTCACCTGGTTACCACGGTGATGCTCAGTCTGCAGACACACCGGAGTTAACCGACTGGTTTATACCAGCCTCCTCTGCAGGCTCCACTAGGTCACCTGGTTACCATGGTGATGCTCAGTCTGCAGACACACCGGAGTTAACCGACTGGTTTATACCAGCCTCCTCTGCAGGCTCCACTAGGTCACCTGGTTACCACGGTGATGCTGAGTCTGCAGACACACCGGAGTTAACCGACTGGTTTATACCAGCCTCCTCTGCAGGCTCCACTAGGTCACCTGGTTACCACGGTGATGCTCAGTCTGCAGACAGACCGGCCTCTAGTGGTCCTCAGACCAACGGTTTACCACAGCAACACTTTACTGTGACTGAATAACTATAGATCTAACCTAGAACAGATCTGAGGTCACTCCATAGATCCACATCAACCAGATCATCCAGTTGGATTGGTTAAAAGTCATTGACTAGCAGAGGGTCAGTTAGTAGCAGAGGGTCAGTTAGTAGCAGAGGGGTCGGTTAGTAGCAGAGGGTCAGTTAGTAGCAGAGGGTCAGTTAGTAGCAGAGGGGTCAGTTAGTAGCAGAGGGGTCAGTTAGTAGCAGAGGGTCAGTTAGTAGCAGAGGATCAGTTAGTAGCAGAGGGGTCAGTTAGTAGCAGAGGGTCAGTTAGTAGCAGAGGATCAGTTAGTAGCAGAGGGGTCAGTTAGTAGCAGAGGGTCAGTTAGTAGCAGAGGGGTCAGTTAGTAGCAGAGGATCAGTTAGTAGCAGAGGGGTCAGTTAGTAGCAGAGGGGTCAGTTAGTAGCAGAGGGTCAGTTAGTAGCAGAGGGTCAGTTAGTAGCAGAGGGGTCAGTTAGTAGCAGAGGGTCAGTTAGTAGCAGAGGGTCAGTTAGTAGCAGAGGGTCA